TCATCAGTATTGATCATAGATCAGCCGAGTATTGATCAGTATTGATCATAGAGCAGCCGAGTAGTCATCAGTATTGATTATACAAACACAATGGACGACCTCCATATTGTATTTCATTTTAAACGTCTCTCTCTCGTCGTTCAGGCAGAGCTGCGTGAGGAGCAGCGGAGCTACCGGCAGCATCTGTCTGAGGAGCTGCAGAAGCAGAGGAGGGAGGAGGAGGAGACAGAGCAGCTGATGGAGGAGATGCTGAAGGAGGTCTGGACTAAAAGAGAGCAACAGAGCCGACAGCAGAGAGAGGCCAGAAACAGACTGATGGAGGAGGTAATGGAGGCTCGGAGTCTGCAGATCCAACACAAACGTAAGAAAACTTCTGGTTCTTTGATAGAAACTACAGTGAACAGCTGTTATAGGAACATTATTTAGATTTACATCTAGTAGATTTAATAAAAAACTGTGTGTGTGTGTGTCTCTGTGTGTGTGTGTGTGTGTGTGTCTCTGTGTGTTGCAGTGGACCTGAACATACAGAAACAGACGGATCTCTCTAAAGAACAAGACGAGCTGAACAAAGTGACAGAGGAGACGAGGCTGATGGACGAGGGCGAGAAGAGACGGTACGTCAACAAACATCTCCATCTTTATCTCCTCTGTGAGATCACATGACTGAACTGGACTCTGCTGGTCTCTGCTGGTCCTCAGTCTGAAGCAGACCTCTGAGGCGTACCAGGCCGACCTGAAGGCTCAGATGAAGCAGCAGCAGCAGCTTCGGTGTGAGCAGAGGTCTCAGGAGGAGAAGGAGCACCAGCAGGGTCTGATCCAGCAGCAGCAGTACGACCAGAGAAGAGACCACATCCTGTCCAGGTCCGCCTCCCAGCCCACCAACCCACATCCCTTCAGACAAGGGGAGGGGTCCAGGTCTGCCTCCAGACACCGCCCCACATAGAATCCACATGGAACCACATCGCTCTGATCATATCCACAAGGAGATCTAAAAATAGATCACATGACTCACTAGAATATGAGATGTAATCAGAGCTTCAACTCAAACATCAAAGTTCATGAACCAAATATTAAAACATAAAAACTACTAAAATACAATATTTCTCTGTTTCTTAATGACCAGTGAAAATGTTTTCATGATTTAAAAGTCCTCCAGAAGAACATGAATGATATCTCATCAGTGATTTATCCTCAGGGGAACATGAATATCTCATCAGTGATTCATCCTCAGGGAAACATGAATGATATCTCATCAGTGATTCATCCTCAGGGAAACATGAACAATATCTCATCAGTGATTCATCCTCAGGGGAACATGAATGATATCATCAGTGATTCATCCTCAGGGCAACATGAATGATATCTCATCAGTGATTCATCCTCAGGGGAACATGAATGATATCAACATCACACAGAGCTGCTCTTGTGGATCAAAGTACTTTCTCTTCATGACGGTGTTATACGTAGACACGCAGTACTCGGTACTACAGTACTCAGTACTCAGTACTACAGCACTCAGTACGCAGTACTACAGTACTCAGTACTCAGTACTACAGCACTCAGTACGCAGTACTACAGTATGCAGTACTCAGTACTACAGCACGCAGTACTTGTACTACAGTACTCAGTACTTGTACCTTACAGTCCTGCGTCCTGGAGCTCGATGAGTAAGCGTGTTTGCTGAAGGTGAGTTCGAGGAACAAGTTGCATAAAGTGTTTAGTTGTGAAATCATCATTTAGGAAGTCATGACTTCACAGACGTTGGTGAGAAGTAGCTAAGTACTTTAAAGTAAAAGTTTAAGGTACTTTACTGAAGTATTACCACCTGCTACGTGATACTTGTTACTGCGTAAGAGAAACACAACATGTGATACTCAACTTTATTTAAAGTAGTTAAACAGAAATAATGATCTAATACTTCCACTAAATATTTGGTTTATTAAATGTTTCCAGATGTTTTTAAATATTCATTTTACAAACATGTTGATATAAAACTCATTAGTGAGTTCTGATCCAATAGTACTCTGTACGAGGAGTACTTTTACTTCACAGTACACTTTGCTCATAACTCTCGTGTACTTTTACTTCTTTTCTTGAGTAAAGTATGTGAATAATTGTTCCTCCTCTGACTCCAGAGAGACTTTATGTGATGGGTGTGTTATGTTACAGTTTATAATTATAATAATCATGATTATAGAGGAAACGGAGTGTGACGCTTGTTACTGTTGAAGAGTGAAGCTCAACGTGAGTCACGTTTAAATATTAAATATGATTAAAGTGTTTGATATTCTTTAAAGGAGTTCTAGTTTAATTTAAACATCACAGCGGGTTGTTAAGCTGACGAGTTAAAGTTTGAATAAAGTTATTTTGAGACAAAGATCCTCTGAGCAACAGAAGATGAAGAAGCTGAGATTCAAACAGGAACAGCTTCCTGTTTCAAGAGTTTCACAATAAAAGCAGCCTAGAAGAAGCTGGAGTGAGGTTTATCACAGTAGAAACAGAAGGTTAGTGTAGAGTTAAGCTCAGCTGATCTCATCACAGGTTAAACCTCTTCAATATGTTCTAATCAATAATCAAAGTGTTTCACATTGTTGTGTCTCTGTTAGAAGAACGTCAGTAAAAAGCTGATCAGTGACTTTTCATCTCAGCCAATGAGGCGCTCACACGTAGATGTGAGGTCATGGGACGTCAGACAGGTGAGGGGCGTGGCCTGTAAACAACAGGACAGGTGTGTGAGGTGAGGACAGAGGTGTTTGTTTGTCTTTTAACCACGAGGTCGACGGTTCCAAATGCCGGTCGCTCCTCATGAGGAGCGACCGGCTATGAAGCTGTTTATAGACAGAGTGATGTCATCGTTATACATTTAATTTATTCATAGAGCTCAAAAACACAAAGCTTGTACTTGTATTAGTGAGATCAACTGATTAACAATAACAGTGGATACATAGAATAATGATGATAATAAATCCCAGTCCAGGTGGGACCAGGATCCATGTGGACCTGCTTGGTCCTCGTTGTAAGGCGGTCTCTCAGCCAGCGGGTAGACACACCTGAGCAGGTAGACACACCTGAGCAGGTAGACACACCTGAGCAGGTAGACATACCTGTGGAGGGCGTGTCTGGGAGGAGACCTACCTGTTGTAAGAGTTGTGCTCAGACAGGTCTGAGAGTCACATGACTCAGTGCTGCACAGCATGCTGGTCTCTACCCAGAGGGGCTGCTGAGGATCTACTGACCTCCTGCCCTATAGATCTATAGATCTATAGATCCATAGATCAGCTGACAGCATGGCGAGTGACTACTACCCGTATTCTAAGGTAAAGCTCTTCATTCTCTCCGTGTTAAAGTTAAACGTTGTGAACGTGATCGACGAGAAGCAGCTCATTCTTCAGGACGTGAGACACTGTGGACTCATTAGTATGAATATTAATATTAATAAGGACGATAAAACGTTTAAATCTGAATGAAAAATGAATGATGAAGAATAATGTGTTTACTGCTAGAGTCCTAAAGTAAAGAGTACAGTAGTATTACCACCATGTCAGTGAGTAGTACATCATATATATACTGTGTATACATATATATATGTACATATACACACATATATATGTCTATTGAAGCAGCAGAAGCTTCTCAGAAGTTTTCTTCTTATAAACTGATTGTTTTCATTCACTCAGCTTCTCTCACATCAAATCTTTTGTTTTAATGTTTCTTTTAAAATCTCAGCTTTTGTCTGAGTGACTCTTCTTCTTTGTTCTTCTCCTCTTCTTTCTTCTTCTTCTCTTCTTTCTTCTCTTCTCCTCTTCTCTCTTCTTCTTCTCCTCTTCTCTCTTCTTCTTCCTTCTTCTCTCTGCTGTTTTCATGTCGTCATATATTTAATATTTAATACGCAGGTCTCTTGTTCTATTTTAAGATACATAGTCGTCACAGTATTTTTATAATATATATCACTATTGTGATGTTTCTATTTTAAATCTATCTTCTTTATTTATATTTGTATTTATTGTTTTGAACCAAACAACAGAAAGTTAAAAACCTTGTGATGATGTCAGAGCATCAGAAGTAATACAGTCTGACGATGACGCTGTGGTTTGATCGGACAAATAGATAATTCATAAATTCATAAATTCGTGCATGAATAAATTCAGAATTTTTTTTAATGTCATCAAAATCATAATCTGGTTTACGTTTTCACATAAAAATTAATTTTCTTTGTTTTGAAGCAACAAGAAACATAATTGTAGAAAATAACCAAAAAGTATCATAAAATTATGAAACATAACTATTTAAAAAGATGTACAATATTAAAAAAGGAACGAGTTAGACAGGAAAGTGTAAAGACACAGTATTAAATAATATATATATATATATATATATATATAAATGTATTATTATATATAATATATAAGCAAAATGTACTGTCAAAAAATAAAGATAAAGTGTTGTAAATGATAAAAATAGTGTTAAATAAATAGTGAATATAGTAAGTGTTGCAGCAGCTTCTCACTACATTTAATTATTCTAAATAACTTTATTAATTCCTCCCAGAACAGAATGAATGAGTGAAATCTAAAACATTTATTTTATTTTTATTGATCAATAGAAGAATCCTGAATGTGACCGCGAGCTTTCATCTGAGGCCGTTTGTGGGGTCGCGACCCTCACGTTGAGAACCAGTTTCTGTGTGTGTGTGTGTGTGTGTGTGTGTGTGTGTGTGTGTGTGTGTGT